GATGCTCTGTCCACGACATCCGATTTCAACCGCTGGCAATACGCTTCGAAAGCCGAGCAATCGAGCCACGAGGATCGAAGGAGCTCCATTGTTGCCGGTTAATTAAGGAGGAATTGATGAAAGATTAAGGAGTTTCCTCGTTGTCTATTGTTCAGTATACACTACCATCCAAAAGTTTGAAAATTCAAAAAAATATTCTATTCTCAAGAAAAATTATATACGAATGTTTTTCGTTTGAAAATTTCTATCGATGCATCGTTATTGATACCGCCGTTTGGGCTCTCTCCATGGTCCGCCGTCTGAGGGTAACAAATTCCTTACTTCTACTGTACGCATACTTCGTCTCCTTTTATTCAGTGAATCTAGAGCTCTATAAAGGATGCATTGTACTTTAGACATGGACTATTTTCACTGTCTATCTCTGTTTCTTCGTGTACAAGGAAGAACCTGAAGAATAGATAAAAACCCGGTGAAATGGTAAGAGTAATCGAGGCAATCTCGGTGATCTTGTCCCAAGGATAAAAATTTCATCATCCTGTCGTCGGCCAGCCTACTGATTCCTCTCCTCGGATAATTAATTACAGGCTGTTTGATCCGACTGGAAGAAGAACAGGAAACGAGGGGGAGAGCAAAACTTTCTACCTTCTCCTCGAACCGACTGTGTTTCCTCTAGTTACGTCGTAATTTGTTTAATTTTTTTTCGAGACCAGTTAATTGAGACGAGAGAATTAATCTTGTTCGACTGATCAAACTTATTTTTTTCCACGAATCCTTAACTATCGATTAAGTTTAATTAAACCCTGCAGTTGATGAGATATATAATGAAAAATAATACCAAGTAAATGGAAAAGAAGGAGTTCCATTTTGTTAAAGAAACGAAGGGATTAGTTTCTGGTGGTTCTTAACTCTCCCCGGCGAAATTCGGGTTGAAAAATTAATTTAAAATTCTGCTCTCGTTGCATTTTTCTCTAAGCTTCTTTCACACGAAGAAAGTAAATTATATCTACCACTGAAAATACTATTCATCCTTCAATTTACGGCGTTACGAAATGGCAAGTCTAATTCTTAATCTTCGGATGCGTCATCCGAACCACGCGCAATGAACAGAAACGAAGTAATTTAATCACCGAATCCTGTCCGCGTAACGTCGATCCCTGTTGTCGGTGGAACAACGAGAATCTCGAGCAATTTCCTCTCAACGATCACAGCAATTACACCGAGGTAGGTCCGTAAACGCAGAAGTAGTCGGAGCTTAAAGTTAACCCATGGCCAGGCTTGGCAACGCGACCGGCAACGATACGTACTCGCAACGGCACTTAAGTCGACGGGGGGTGGTCCGCGTTTAGGACACTAAGTGGATTGCCGTGGAAACATTAAATTACCCGAAAGCCGCTGCTACCAGCTTGCGATCGTCCGAAACCGCGGCGGTTAACGCGCCGCACGAGCCTCGCTCGTTAACCGCAAGAATTCTCTGTGTACACAGCACCACCCCTTTCCACCACCGTGTCCATCGCCTAACTAAGTTAGGTCCGCCTGAATTAGTGGGCGCGATTAAAGGTTTTCATTCGTATCGACTCGTTCGACGGTAAACCCTTTTATAAATAATTGAATCGTCTCAATTAAAGATATTTTATACGACGATTCAACGTTAGTTTAATGTTTCATTATAATCATCTTTGTTTTTCGTTTACGAGCTAGAATAGTTTGGTCGTATAAATGCAAGGATTGTTAGCGAGCAGCCAGTATGGTAGATTGGTAGGACAAAGAGCGGTAGCCAGCGAGCGGATAACGAGAATGTAGCATTAATTTGTATCGCGTTTCATAATTTGTACGGGACCGCGTTAATTACGCCACGGGAATGTAATAAACGTTTCATTTCGCTGGTCGCGGAATCGTTCCGCTTGTAATTTCATGGTTAATTGGAGCTATGAAGGCTGATCGTTCGACGTTGCTCCTGCTGGAATTGTTAATCTATGTTCCGAATTTTCAAAACTAGATAGGGTAATTCCAATTATAACATTGGAACTAAGTTTGGTACCACTGAAAATTTCAAAATATATTTTATTTATAAATTTTAGTCCGAACATTTAAATTCTTTCGAAAATAAAAATAGGAAGCTCATAAATTTTTATCCAGGCATTCATATTGCAGGTTGAAAAGTTCTTTGAACATTTAAAAATACTTAAAGAGTCGTACAGTATTTAATCTGAATTTTCCTGACGGAAATATTACACGATCTTTGAAAAGTCCTTTTCGACAAGAATCGTACATGTGTACCTTAATCCAGCCGGAAGGATCGCGATCGCTCACGGACGATCAAGCCTGAATCCTTCAGGACGATATTTAATCCTTCTCGGACGGGATTTAATGCCTGCTGTGCACGGTGTCCCGAGTGTCAGCTGTCTACTTTGTCGAGAGAGGGTAGCCGGGCAAATCCACAAGCAGTTTCTATATGCAAATCTACTCATAACTCACCAGAAACGTATCGGACGGGCCACACTGCCGGAACGCAGCTTTCTCTTTCTCTTTTCCTCTCTGCTTTCACGGACTTTTTCGTCGGGCCGATGTATGTAAATCGTCGGTGGGAATACGCGGTCGGAAAGGAGAGAAACATTGGTAAAATAAAAATTCCAATTGTGTATTTATTCGAGTTACTTGTTACAATTATTATCAATTTCTTATGGACATTAGAATCTTTTCTATCGGTAGGATTATCGAAGTTATCTTAGGATCAGTATCACTCGATAGGGATTACCGAGGCATCTAGTCAATCAGGAGACTATTAGGATATCGAATAGTTAGGATCGTCAGATTATCAGGACGATTAGTCCTTCAGGATCATCGAGATACCAAAACGCGATATCTCAAATATTCCAATTACTCAAAATTTCAAATGTCTGATAGAAGTATTATATTTTTAATCGAGTACTTGGAAAAATTTTATAATCTTCATAACGTATATTCGCCATACAATTACGTAAACTATACACGTTTAAATAGATAAGGGAAGGAGGGATGGTGTTAACGGTGAGGCAAGCTACGTGACGATTACGGTTCCCTTGGTGACATAACGTTTCCGGTGACGGATGATGGTGTGATCGTAATTTAGTCGGGAAAATGTATTCTCGCATGGCAATATCGAAACAGGCCAATATCGTTAACTCTAATTCGCTTACGTTTGCGCACGCATTGTCGAGCGGTAATAACAAGATTAATAATGCGACCGTCGTCGATAATAATCGTGGAATCACGTAGCTGTGGCATAATCGGCCCTCTCGATTTTGGTTAGCCACGTACAAACCGAGAGACACTGAATTACCAGCCGTGAAACGTTATTAATCTCTTCTGGTCGTTAAGAATTTTTCGTGCTTCATTATGAATTATGATACATTTGTAATCGAATGAAACCTAAGGAACAATGGTCAATTCATCAAATCAAATTTATTATTATTATTAAATTTCATGTTGGAAAGGAAACTTGAACCGGAACCCTTTTTACCATTATTCCATGGCCGTTGAATAACAACGAGCATCGTGTATTTGATCCTGTTTGCAAACGCGACCATACGTGGTTCCTACGGGACCAACGACGTCCTCTTTTTTTTTCCGCGTTTCCGTTTTCGTATCGCAGTCGAGCACGGTTCTCCGGACAGAGCCACGGTCATTGTTCAAGTCTATCGTGATAAGCCAGCGCCGCTGCATTTCCGGAGCTTTCGCGTAATCGTTGCACGCGCAATGAATTTTACGGCGGATACGTGCGGCGAATTTGTCAAGCGAAAATAGATAATGTGACGCGCAGAATCGTCCGATCGATTCTACGAAACGCGTGAAAAATAAAAAATAAATAAATAACGCGTTTTTACCGAAGTGTTGATGACCCCTCTTTATCCTCTTTTGTTAATTATTTTGTAAAATTTTCTTCTCCGAATTATTCGAATGACAAAATAATAATTTGTCGAAATATTGTTAATAATTACTTTCTTTGGAAATATCGTTAATAATCGGTCGAAAGTCGATGGAATTTCATTCGAACGGACCGGATGTCTCGTGTCGGCGTCACGTGGTCCGCGAGGAAACCGGATGCAACAGCTTGCCGCGCTACGAGCAGCCGACTGCACTTCCGCTTCAACGCAGCCCCTGACCCGTGAATTAATATTTCATCGTGGCTGCGTTTTGTCGCGTTGTTTCTCTCCGAGCCTTGATTTTCACGGTTCGTTTTCCATCGACTATTCGGCACGCCTTTTTTCTCCCCGTCTGTGTCATTTACTTTTCTCCCCATCGTCTTTGACCGTGAATTCTAACCACGCCATTTGCTCTCCCACGAAGTTTCGCTGTAACTGCTGGTTCTAAAAAATTCAGAAATCCACCGTCAAACATCGCGTTGGGGAAAAAAGAATGAATTCACCAGATAGAAGAAATATGGGAGTTGATCGACGCACCCGAAGAACTCGGGCGTAGCTGGCTGACAAACAGAGAAGCAAACGAGAGTCGAACATTGAACGCCGATGAGGAAAATTCGATGACCTACATATCCGATGCACAATGCTTTCTCGGCACAAAGGGCAACGGGAGATACGAAGTGCCTCGCGACTCCGTATCGATTCGAAATCAATACACCGTATCTCGATGATGTGACAATACAAAGAGCCCGGAGCGTGGAACCGGCCCTCCCAGCCTTACAATTGCTTCTTGTAGCGAAGCCAACTAAAAGTACCTGCCGCTGCTGCGAACGAAGGCCGATGCTTCTTGCATCGATCTCGCCTTCCTCACAACAGATTCTCCACCATGGAAAATCGTCAAACCGACGAATTTCTATCAAAACGTGTTATTCCACTGTCCTCTCTTGGTTAAAATTCAGACTCGAACAGTTTTTCAACCCTTTTGGCAATACTCAAAACTATTTTTAATACTTCGGATAAGAATGTTGTTTGTTAGAGGTGGATAAATTTCGGTAGAAACTTTCCTAAAACATCCTCAGTAGAATGTCTGTTTGCTTGCAGAACGAAAACAGAGCACTGCGACTGAAAGAGCCTGCATCGCTATCCCTGTCCGCCGGAAATTCCGGCAACTACGTGGACCCGGATGGCACCGCCATTGTGATGTCGTCTGAGCTGTTACCAGCACCCACTCCGGATCCAAGGGTGACGTGGAACTACTTCGACGAGCAAGGGTAAGAATTGTAGGCGTTCAGTGGAAGGGGAAGACGGTGAGTTTCCCCGGACGCCCTTAGTTCGGGTCGGCGACCGCTAGGTGGCAGCGGGATTGATCTCCGTTCTCGCTGGCGGTCGCCCATCGTGAGTTCCAAAAAGCGGGATTATAGGCGTCTGGGGCAGGGATCGTCTGTCCTCAGCCCCACTGACGAGTCTGGCAGACGATCCCGAGACGAAACACCTTTTTCTCTCCCTACAGAATGGAAAATTGTTTCTGACATAACCTGCAAACTTTTTCAGGTACGTCTCGAGAGGAGGTCTAAGGGCGGGAGAAGATCCGTACGCCAGGAACAAATTCAACCAGGAAGCTAGCGATGGACTTCCGAGCAATCGTGATATTCCGGACACCCGCAGTGCCATGTAAGTGAATGAAAAAATAATTTCTTTATAATCGAATATGTAATTCGGATGGTTGCAATTCGATCGCCTAAAAATAAGGTAGTGAACGAGGCTTAAAATAAAATAGAAACGATATAATCGTATCGATCGAATCGTGATCGGTATCGATTTCTTCCGACGATCTTCAAGTGGTTGGTCGCAAAGCGAACGGGACAGAATAGAAGAAAATTGAACGGTGAATATCCACGAGAAAAACAGTAGCCCGTGGCGGTCGAATAAATCGGGAATAATGCATTTAATCGAACGATCGGCGAAGAGGGTTCGACGTATAAGGAACGCGAATACCAATCGCTTGAGGAGGAGAAACAAAAGGAAATTCCTTTGCCGGTCGATCAATCCTTTCATACACTATTATTGGAAGGTTCGCGAGCAGCTCGCCCCTGATTATCCCTCCCAAATTATCGCGAAAATCGCAGCCCATCGCTGGGAATTAATGAACATGCCTCAGAAACGTCGGTACATTCAAGCCGCTGGCGATCAACTCAGACGAAAGAAAAGGGCATTTTCGAAGAGAAATTAGGTTCATTTGCAAATCTTTTAAATTTTCGCATTTTTAATATCTGAAGAATTTAACGAGTTTATTGATTAGATGTAGATTCGTTTGAAAATGAAGAAATATGAAGGTTTGGAGAACAAAATTATCCGATCGGTTAATGGACATTCGTTAATCAATTTTATGGACGTGGAATGACTTTTTTAAAAGGATCGTTCGTTGTATGATCATATTGTGTAATATTTTATATTTCCTTTGGTATTTTATTGTATATCTCTGTACTGTATTGCGAAATATCATCGAATTTACATATTACCGGTGTTATTCCTGTGAATCGCGGTACGCGTTCGATACGGGCCTAATAATTTATTCCGGTGACAAATCGATTTCCATCCGAACGAATAGGTCAACCGTGAGTAGCTGTCAATTACCGGGCTTAATAGAATGAGAGAGATTCATGCTCGTAAATTGCATGACGAATCAATTTCCTACGCGATCGAATAAATATAACATTCTCTCGGAAAATGTTTTAAAAGAGCTACGAAAATTTATATTTCATGACAGAAGAATATCATAAAATGAAATTCTAATATTCCTATTTTATTTATTGTATAATAAAAATTCTTATCTATATACATTCTCGATCTACAGTTGTGAAAATCAGTGATCAAAGAGAAAAAGAAACATTGTTCGTGAAAATTCACTCGATACGGATACGAATTAATTATCGAGCGACGTTGGAAATAAATTCCGTGCCAGTCGGTGTCCATTCAACCCAATGGTTAATGGAACCAATCTAATTTCCGAGTCCAGCTCCAACTTTTATGGGCTTGTAATTTATTCGCTGTTTGCGCTCGAAGGTTTAACCCGACGTATCATTTATTCGAAACGTTTAGAATCGATGCCTTGGTCGGTGCATCAAATATCCTGTTAGCTCGTTTCTAATTACTTTAGGAAATATAAACTTTCCATGGAATAGTTTCCTCTCGAAAGTTTCCTCTCGTGTTTGGAATAGATTTTGAGTCACTACCTTTCCGACTGTCTCGGAATCCTCTCTTCCAATTCTCCACGGTGATCTAATTTCCTAGCTACTCTACCTACGCTTTCGTCCATCGATCGCATCCTATTTCACGTGAACAGACACGTTCAACAAGTACCGACTGCGACCCACGTCGATCGAATCCTCGACTTCTTTTAATGCCACTGGAATGTCACTGTATACGTACATATAAAATAACGTGTTTGAAAATATCTGAACATCGTACGTGGGTGGTGTATGAATTTTCATAGAAATGCAGAAATTTGAAAATAATAATGAAAATACTGGTAAATATTTTCAAAAGATATTTGCATGATATTTCGCTTGTATGCAGTTCGAAACACGATTAAAAATGAAATATTATCGCAAAGTAGAACGGGGTAGTAAGAAACACTCGAGTGGTTCATGAATTATTCACTCGCGTGGTTTCATCTTCGCCGGTGGGATTCTTGTTCCGATGTTCCTTAGCTAGGCGACCGGCTGTTCCTGATAATGGAATAGTTGTATCACTTATACGCAACGTGAGTAACTTAAATATTTATGCGGCAGTGATGTGTGCGAGCACCGACCGAGTGCAGGATCCGTTGCATTAAACATGGCGAATCGTCGCAGCCGGGAATCGTGGCAGAAATTTCACGCGGCTTTTGATCGTTCCTGACTTCTCGCGCTCTGCCTCGTCACGATACTCTGAAACATTCAACCGTATCTTCTTCCATCCTACGCGACTTTTCCCTCCGTATCGAGGAAACATTTCGCCGACCGAGATTGCCGATTCATTCGTGTATACAAAATCTGTTTACAGATTTATAGAGGGAGAATAAAAGTTTCCGAGATTTTCTCGAACACTTTCGAACGGTCCATCTATAATTTCTTGCCTCGATCGAGAAGACCGTCGAATACCGTCTCGGCAAACTAATTACCTCTTCCACCGTAATTAATTGAACGACGCCAAAAAAAAAATGGAAGAGGTACTTTGATTTCACGCATCAAATTTCTCCCTTGGTTTTTCCCTTTCACGTGCAAGTATTAATCTTTAACTCGGCTCGGATGGTGTAGCGAAAAGAAGTTCCTTCGATCGATCCTTCTCTACGTTCAGCTAATTAACGGTCTCCTTAGGAATGCTAAAGAACCGAGGGAAGGAAGATAAATGAAAGCTGCGAGACGCGAGCCGTAGAACGTGCTCCATCGAGATCGAGTTACCGCGAGGTGTGCCTCCCTTGTTTCCGTCCTTCGCTACCGTTTCTTTGCGTTTGTCTTCGTAGCCTCGTGTAACGCGATGAAATATTCAGGGATTCGATGAGAAGTTAGAACCGCGGCTTGCTAGACAAGACCGAGGTAAACGAAGAGGGACGGCCTCTCGAACGCTCGCGACAATCCGCCAGAGGAACTTGTAAAAGGGATATTTTTTTCTGAGAAGTACGAGAGGAAGTTTTTGCATGAATCAATATTAGGGACAAGAATCAAGACAAATTCTTTCGTGAAACATTGAACTTCTCTTATTTTTTTGGTAAATAACATTAATAATTTTTTTTTATTATTATTGAACGCGTGATTATTTGGACAAGATAGGGGATAAATACTGATATCAAACGTTTATTGATGTAAAATTAACACGGGATAGAAACTCAGTTGCAGAAACGCTGAGCCGAGCGATAAGTAGCGTTCGCGTCTGACCAAAAACGATTTATACTACTTGCTACCTGCGCTACGCTTTTCTAAGCTCCTCAACGCTTATCTATGAGACTGTAATTAAACTTAAGGGTTATGGTAAATGTGATTTACTATCAGATATTCAATTTTTGAATAATTTATTGATAAACAAAAGGATTAATATAACACATAGTGGCACAATCATAACATTGTCTGTTAAGTCTCGGATGGCGGACCATGGAGAGAGCCACAATTTTAATTTAATTTCGTGTTTGATATTATTTTCATTTTCTAAATTTTACACTGTTCCTTTAACTTTAGGTTAATGCAATTTTAATGATTTTATTTTTAATAATTTTCAATTGTTAGGAAACTTTCCGTAAGAAATATCATGTTATCTCGTCGAGTACACATGGCGTCCACGATAAACCCGAGCAATCACCACACGTGCACCTATGTTTCTACTTACACCGTAACCGGAAACGAGGGTATTCTCGCTCGATAAGGCTGCTTTCGCGAGGAAACTGATTTCTCAAAGCGGAAAACGCGAAGGGTCATATGGAAACTGCTCGTTCCACGATATCGGACCACGATGGGAGCTGCTTCAACGGCGAATCCTCGAATCCGTCCAGATATTCCACTTCCTCTCCCACTCTTTCCACCCCGTTTTTTTTTTTTCTCCCCCTACCGATCATTATTATCGTCTCTGGTTGCTGCTCTAGCATCGAGAGCAGAGCGGTTATTGCGAAATATAATGGGTACAATAGCGATGGAACAGGGCCATGGATTCGAGGATCGTCGATGGTTCGAGCTGCTCACAATTTTAGGACATCGATCCATGTTTGTATAGAGAAGAAAATTTCGAACGGCAATGATCGCTCGTGAACCTGTTTAATTGGCGGAAGTTGGAAACGAATGTGGAACGCTTTCGAATATTGTCTCTAATTGGATACTGATCGATCAGACATGCGGAGATGCTCTCACAATCAGTCGATAATGTTATTAACGTTTGATGAATTTATGAAAATGTTTGAATATTGTAGTTTTCGTATCCACAAGTAGATTGAATATCGGTAAAATTATATTTGAATAGCTATTCACGATACATCCTGCAAAATTACCAATTACTGACAAATTCTAATTAACGTATTTACATTTTAATTCGTGGGACTTTTAATCGACCGATGCTTGAATATTAAAAAATTAAAATTGACCTTTAACTATCGTCTGTTAATTAACCAACGAATACCATTATCAATGGAATCATCTCTTGCATTCAAATTTCGTTCCATCGCTCCGGGAAATGAAAGAAAAGCTGATGAATCGAAAGTGAAGTAAACAAACAAAAGGAACCATTTTCTATTCAAGAATTTTAGCTGAATTAGCTCGAATCGTAGTTGCTGCTAAGAATTTTCTCGTAAAATCGTCCAGAACGATGCCGCGATACTCGAGGAATGGAATAATGGAATACGAAGGACGGTGGCTCGTAAAGTTTATTAACCGGTAAAAGGCGGATTCTGTGCCTTCTTTTTTTTTTTTTTTTATCGTTTCGCCTGCTGACGCGAAATTGCGCTCTTTTGTCGCGACTTCTTCGTCGAACATCGACGCTAGTTTCCTACCACGAACCAACCTGGAAAGTTAATTTCGAACCGTTCCATTGTTTCGTACAGCCTCGTTATATTCCTATCGACTTGCCACCAATAAATTTCACTCTGCATCGAACGTATATTCATTTTTTTTTCTTTCTAAATAATCGCTTTACCTTTCAAACATTTTCAT